CTCTATGCGTTGTGTCCAAACCACGTCAGTCTGCTTTAGTTGGTGATTAAACAGTGTAAGATACAATGCCTTGCATACTGATAAGGTATTGAAATAAAATATTTGGTTTTATTTTTCTGCTGTTTTCCAACCTGCATTGTTCTGATTAGCCATAATTATTCACAGTCCACATCCACTGTATTTGCACCAGAGTTTGTGCAGATCATTTAATCCATTCAATTAATTTCAACACTTATACAATATATAAAGTCTAAAGTATTGTGTGATAGTCCATATTTAGATTGACCCCGAGAGTTTAATCACTTTTGCATTTGGTTGAGAAGATTATTTTTAAGAAGACTTTCCTGCTGAGAGAAAAGCTCTTCTTGCTCTAAGCTTTCGAGGGTTTTCTGACCTAGCACTTTTGTTCAAAAGCACCTCTGCCCTTTCTGGCGAGCTCCACAAATGTTGCCTTAAAGTGACCACAATGCTGGAGTGACTACACCAGCAAAATTAATCCAAAGGAGAGGTCAGTACTGCAGAAACATTCCCTTAGAGGGTAAAAAAGGGTTTATTATGTGAAAAAATACTTCTAAATCCTTCAAGGCATTGCCAACTCCCACTTGTTAGTGCAGAGAAAAGGCTTAGGGTGATTAGACCATATCATGCTTTCTCTCTCTGCTTTGCCATGTTTTTTCTTTTTTTTTCTCCTTCAACAGGATTACTTTATCCACTTTGCTTTAATTGGAGAGTCATAGAGTATGCTTGGATGGTCTGTTACACTGAAAGGACAAGCCATTTAGTTGATGGTCCATAATCTATATATCTCCAAGGCAGCATTGTTACTGAAACAAAATATTTTATCTCCTGTGGCACACCGTTGGTTAAATAAAGCACTAAATAAAGCTTTCAAAAACATAGGATTTCATAATTTCTATCTTCATACTGTTTTACAATTTAACATCCTTTAATAAAATGGTAGAGTAACAGATAACATTCGTTTTTTCCAGCTATATAAAAGATAGTTACCCAGCACCACCCCACTCTCAGCTATTGTCATGCATCGCTTGTCGAAGCCTAAAAAAAGGCTGCTTGTTATGTCCTAAGTGAACATGCTGCACCTTCCCTCATTTACAGGAGACAAGTGTTTGTTTGGATTTATTCTTGTCCTCAAATCTATTTAAATGTAAGAACAGTATAGAAATGTTAAAAAATTATCATCATAATGAAATCTTTCTATTCTTTGTTTAAAAAAGGTGTAATTAAAATCATCTTTCGGCTTTTACTGCCACTTTGGTGTTTTTTTATTGCTCAGTAAATAAAATTGTTGTAGCATATCGGCTTATATGTATAAGCAGCTATTGTCTCTGTTTCTTTATATTTCAAAGAGAACAGGCAGGTTAATGGAGTGGATAATACATCCATATTTTTAGGTAGGCTGTCATCTGTCAGTATTTACAGGTTGGTACCCATTTATCCTGTGTGAGCATTGTGATACTATCTCTGTGGGCAAAGGGCCGCCTGTCTGTCTGCCCTGCTGAATTAACAGATGGGGGTCCATGGGGAATTGCAGCTATACGATGGTTGACGGTACCCAAATAAGGCCTGACTGTAAGATGCATGCGGGGAGGAGACAGAGGCTCCATGTTGGCAAAGTCAGGCCTCTCACATTCTTTAGCCTCTGTGAAAAGCCTTCTGTCTCTCATCACACAACAACCACCATGTGAGCATAGAGAAGATAGGCAGCTTTTTGAACTCTACAGATTCTGAATTTGTCAATGTTGAAATGGTTAAATAAAAGGTAGTCACCTCAATTTTAGTATTTGTTCTACAAAACATTGTTGAAATGCTTTGTATAAACCAGCTTGGAAAATAGATTGATTGAACTAATAGTAAAGCTTTCTTCTGTAGAAATTGATATTTTGTATCATGTATTTAAACAGCTGTCAAACAATGTTCACTAAAGTGCATAGCAGTGCAAAGGAATAGACAGAGGAGTTTTTTTTTTTAGGTAGTTCACTGAATTCTGTCTCAACGCTTTAAGGCCCAGTTAAAGATTAACTCTGGTGTTTCCTTTGGGCCTCTTTGAAGTGGACTTATACCAACTCCTTCTTATCTTAATTAGAAAGAAATTTGGAGGACTGAAGCGCTCCTTTGGAAACCAGCACCTCCTCTCGATAGTTTCTTGAAGACCGTGTTACTGCAGCTTTATCAGTCTGAAGTGTTTGCTCACGGTATTTTGAACTTGTTCATTAAACAGTTTTAAGTAGACATTCTACTATAACAGTTTTTGGGTTTCCAACTGTTCTTTAAAGTAGAATTTAAATATTGTTACCTAGATTATCTGGTCCAGAACTCATATACTAAACAAGGTTATGTTGCGTTATGGTGTTGTACTTGTTTAACCTTATTTAAAAACAGCTCTGAGTTCAGTTCAAGTCCTTTATAATACATTAATTACTACACAATGCTTAGGTTTGTGTAAAATTTTATATTTGTCCTTCGTTATCATATTTTATACATCCATTTACCTTTATGCAAAATATATCATATTCTATTCCACATTATTGTGTTTGCTTTCCTATATTTACCATTACAATTTTCAACATATCTATGAGCTTTAATGTTTCAGCCACTAAAAATACACATATGGTCTGCATCAGGGACAGTCAGAGACTTTTAAACGGGCCATACATATTATTGGCAAGCTTAACTGGCACAGTCTTTGTCTCAAAATAGCTGCCGACATCCATGTAATGTCATCTCCTAATTGTCAGAAGCTAAACAAGCTCAAAAGGATACAAAAAAGTTAATGCCACCCATGGAGGAGCAAAAAAATTGTGCTAATAAGCTAGGATTTATGAAATAAAACCTGTATGAGGCTTTATTTTATAAAAACCCATATTTTCATTTGTGCTTATATCTACAAGGATACAATGGTTACATCATTTATGTGAGATATTTTGAAAATTAACTTAAAACAAAAAAGATAAAATAAAACTTTCAATAAAATTTAATATTTTAGTACATTTAATATCATTTTGAGCACAGTTACCGTCTGTAATGGAAGAACAGTCATTTTCTGTGTATTAACCTAATGGTGAATGTTCCCTACTTTCTTTTAAAGCCTTCCAATATGCTGCTAACATTTCTAAATCCCACACAGTACAGCACTTACTGAGGTTAAGGACCAAGGTTCTTTTTCTGAGTTATTACTACAACAATCTGACACAGCTTTCCCTATTCTAAATGTTTGCACTAAACCCACAGCAGATAGATCTGTGGCATTTTCTCTCCTAAACACTAAAATTTCTCCATAAAAGGCCAAGCTTACCAAGCTGACTTACCACTGAGTGGCAAACAGCCTGTGCACTTAGGATCAGGCCAATCTCACAAATAATAATATATAATTCAACAATATAAGATGATTTCTCAATGTTTTGGATCATTACCGGTTTGGTTCACAGCAAATCTGGATTGTTTTGTTGTTTTCATAAAACTATAGCTTAAGTGTTTAGCTCTTCTTGCAAAATTGAGGCCAGCAAATTATGTTAGACAGATGGCTAAACTTTCTTTTTTCCTCCTGCCGTTGTGGAGGACATGCTCCACAGCTCAGGGATCACACATGCAGTGTTTACCGCTGGCAGGAGTGCCACATTGTTGGCCTTAATCCAAGTGGTGCAGTTAGGTCCTGCCACACAAAGGTCACCTGTCTTCAGAAGAATGATGTGGAACACACAAGAAGGAAAAATCCTGCTCTGTGGTAGACCTTACGAAGGCATGACTCATGCAGTGTTCCTGGCGTCTGTTTACCGGCTAATGTGACATAATATAATTCTTCTCATTCTGCATTTATAACCAAAACATTAAAGGTAAAAAAAAGCGCTCTTGTTCTCTTGTTGTTGTATGTTTCTCAATTTAAACAGTTTTGTAGTTGATGCTAAAGTACCTTGATGTGCATATGATGCAATAAATACATAGATATTAAGACAGTTAAAGCTTTTCCCTAATCATGCACAGTCACACATGTGCTGGGGAGGCTTTATTATCTGTTCACACACATGCTCACACTCAAACTCCCACATACATTCCCTCTAACAAATAATACAACACCCATGGTGAAAGCGTAATGGTTTTACGGGGCTTAAAGAGAAGAGGAAATGAACGCAGTGAAGTGGTCGGCTAGAGGTGACAGATTTACGGACCGTAACAATAAGGGGGATGCTGTGCAGAGACTTCCAGTTGTGCCCAACGTAAACAACAGAAACACTGTGAATTCCTCCTGCATCGCATCTGAAGCCTCTTGGCAGTTTTACTTGTATTCCACCTCTTTTTGTACTGTAAGCTATTTAGTGGATCACTCACCTGAATCTTCCTCAGCTCCTTCCTAACAAGAGAGGCCAGAAGGTCTTACTTTGCTGGCCTTAACTTTTTTAACCTTTGGCATTATCTTGGCTGCTAGCTACTCACATGGCAATTATAATATCAAAGCTTGATGCAGTTTCTTTATGAGTCACTGTATCTGCTTTGTCCAATGCTTTGTGGTGGAGTTTTCATATCCCTGCACGTTTGATGCCTGTTTTTGTGCCTGTGCTTTGACTCCTTCTGGTCAAATGGTACCATCCATGCCCTTCAGTGTTTTGAGCTTGTAGTCTTTGAGAAGAACTTCAAAAGGAAAGGATAAAACATTCTAGTTCAGTCAGGAAGCAGACACCCTTTATCTTAATTAGAAACGAAGCAATTAGATTGCACAAACCTTGTTTCTTTGGCATAGGGGTTTTGCACCCTTATACCTCCCACTGAGTCCTGGCTAAGACTCAAAATCAAATTCCTAAGATATCAAAGAAATCACACTAATAAGGGATATTACTTTACTGGATCTGACTAAAAAATATTTTAACATTTATTTAAGAGATACATACTCTGAATACTAGATAGTGATTTAGTTATTTGTTTTGTGATTTGTGCTTTTTTTTTTTTTGCAGCCCCATAAATTTTATAAACTTAATTTATCTTTCCAGGAGGCAACAAACTGAGAAACCAGCAGTTCAGACTTAATTGGGCTTGGATTTCTTTGGAGAAGGAACACTATGTGGTGGAGGAGGAGGGGAAGTTCCTGGAGGTGGTGTTGAAACGTCGAGGCTACCTGGGAGAGACTTCGTTTGTTAGTAAGTAGACTCTTCCCTAACCTGTCTCTTATGGTAATAGAATATGGTGTTAATGCAATGAAAATTGTGGTTTTCAGTTTTCTTTGTTTTTTTTACCAACATACCCCAAGATCCTAACCAAGAATGACTCAAAGACGATATTGTTTGGCAAGCCATTATATTGACAGACAGGCAGACCCTTTGATATTTTTCAACACAAAAGTAAGACTTGCTCAGATATTCAGTGGGTCACTCAGGTTATGACCTTTAACCTCTTTCCTCCGGCCAGTGTTTGTGCTCAATCAGACAAAAGCAAAGGACTATGCCATAATGGCATGCAAGCACATGCATACGGTCTAGTTTAGTAAAGATAAAATAGTGCACTCAAATTGGAAAATTTGTCTGAAATACAACTGTTATCATTCTCAGTTTTTCTTATAATGAAAATGGCTTTATGTTAAAGGTGTTACAATCAATTTCTCTCAGTATCAAATACATTTTATTCTCTCATGTTTTTAGAATTATTTAAGAATAAAATCTAGGTCCCATCATGGACTTCACTAAAGGTCCTCAGGGAGAAATCTCAGAGGAAGTATGCAACTAGAGGCATTATTGGTGTCTTAACAACATGTTCATTTTGTGGAGTTAAATGAAACATTATAAATGTAATTTATAGACATATTTTTTAGAGAAGTTTTCATATATTTTATATTATTTTATATATGAAAAATGATTGAAGCTTGACCTATATAGAGATGTGATGTACTAACTTTGATACACCAATAATCAGCGTTCAAAATCAGCGTGTTTCAGCAGAGTGGGCAGTTATGCTAAAAAAAAGTCACAGTTACTCTGAAAATCTGGTCAATATACAAATTTTTTATGAGTGTAGCGGCCCTTTGGCTGAAATCTGGCCTTCCTCTCCAGCGCATTTCAGCATAGACGCGGGTTATCCACAAACTTGGCTTTTAATGAGTATAACGTTTGCGAAAATTCTGTTTTTAAACACATTTACCTGTCCTTCTTGCACTCATGAGGGAAGCTCTGTGAAACCTGAACCCCGTTCCCCTAAGACTGTCATCAGCTCGGCTACCCAGGCAGGTAAACACTCTGCAGCCCTGACAGCATAGCAAGCTTTAAAAAAAATAATCCACTATACGTTCATAAAAAATCCTGGTAAGAACCCTGATGATATAGAAGCTGATATTCCTTCACCTCATGAAGACAGGTTTGTGGCATTATCATTTTCTGATATTTGGGTGCTGGTTATTCCACACTAGAATCCAACAATTATGGATTATAGGTGATATTTGCTTAGGATTTTCATTTAGAGTCATTTAATGATATGATGTTTTCAAAACATCCATTTATTAAAAATAATATGCTAAATATTTTGGGGCTTATGGTTTCTAACCCTGTAAGCCCTTGAGAAAGTATTGAGTAAACCAAAAATAGTAGAAATGCTGTTGCAACATATTCAGTTATTTGTGTTAAGGAAAAAAGAAGCTGAAATCTCAACCCAAACAGCCTATTTTCCCAATGATCCCTCTGCAAATTAAAATTAAACACCACCAGCTTTGTTATTTGCTACCACATTAACATTTTCAGTACTGCATGGAATTGCGGATGCTTTTAAATCAGTTCCTTGTGGGGCTGCAACTAACGATTGTTTTGCTAATCAATTAATCTGTTGATTATTTTCTTGATTAATAGATTAGTAACCGGATGGCAAAAGGATCCCCAAAGAAGATTTTTTGCAGAATTGAAGCTACAACTTTTCCACTTACGGATTTCTGGATAGAGCATATTGACAGATGAAAAAGTTGCTTTTTCTTAAATGCCAAATTGTTATGTATTTTTTGTTTTGTTTTTGTTTTTACAGTTTTGGGTATAATTACTGCCATAAGTGGGTTGCTCTGTCGGTTAAAGGCATGATTTAGAGTCTCTATACTCCAGTTAACGACTAATCGATTACTAAATTAGTTGATTATTTTTTCAATAATCTATTAATCACAATTAATCAAATTAATTGTTTCAGCCCTATTCCTTGAGATCTGAAAAGAAAAAAGCTTCTCTTATTGTGTCTGAATTTGTTTTAATACGTAAAGAGTTCAGAGGAAATTCTGCAAATGTTTAGACTTTGGCTTAGTTTGTTCTTCTTTTTATTTATTTTTTTTGTTGTTTTTGACTTTATATTTTCCTTGATCTCCTGGCTCTACTTTTAAAGGTGTCAACATTTTCCCTGGAGCTTTTTCCTATAGAATATAGAGGTGATAAAGGTCTGCTGCTGAGGAAAGGCAGTCTCTGAAAATCCTTTTCTTCCATGAAGATATTTTAGGGATAAATAAACTAATCTAACTATTCATACAGAATCAGTTATTGAAATAATTTTCAACTAATTTTACAAACTATAAAGAACAACCAACTCAGAGTAGAGCGGAATAAAAATATAAGCATTTTCATTTAAGAGGAAACACCTTCTTTGCAAATATGGTCTCGCCTGAATTTCTTTGTTGTTTGTAGAGAATCTTCCTGTACTCTTATTCGTCTTCTTCCACCTAATCCGAGAACGGGTCGCGGGGGCAGCAGTCTCTGCAGAACCTCCCTGTAATGGTTCTCCCCTTTTGGATTTTGAGTTTTTAGTTCTCTGTTATCTAAATAATTCTGTTTTGTTGATCTTTGCTTTATTTTTCATTTTGTGTTATATTTAAGCAGTCTTAAGTTACTCTCTGTTGCTCCCTTGTGAATGTCTCCTTTCCCCTAGCTCCCTTCTAGTCACTTCATCCACACATACTCCATCAGCTCATTACCCCAGTCTTTGTTCTGTCTCCCATATATACTCTCCCTGTGCAGTTTTTCAGTGCTTGTTCCTTGTTGTTACTTGGCGACTCAAGAGAGGGTGCACCATTTGATTTTTAATTTTTAATTGTTCAGTTAAAAAAAAAGTCATAAGAACAGTGTATTTCACACTTTAACATCCAACAACAATATATCTGTGATGGATGGGGAGAAAACTATGTTACATTGACTTTACCATTACTAGAAAAGAAAGTCATAGACATAAATAATAAATAATCAACTTTAAAAGAAAGAGTGGGGATAGTTTAATTTGACCAACCATGCCAGATCACACTCTGATCAAAGAAAGCCCCCAGTAGAGGGCTATTGCCTCACTGCTCAGTGTACACAGTGAGGGTTGCACCAGTTTTGAGGCCGCAGTAAGCCCACCTGCCATGAATCCTTAGAATGACTGCTGTGATCAGGGCCATTCATCGCATGCCTTGTGTGGGGCATAGAATTGAGGCAAATTATATTTCTCCTTTCATGGCTCTTTGAAGACTTCTAATCTTTCAAGCCTCATTGAGCACCACTGTTTTATCAAAGCATAGATGTGCAAAGGCGTTTTCTCACCATCTTCACTTGCATATCAAAGTCCAGTTTCATTCGTTAAAATCTGAAAGAACAGTTTATGAAATTGCTAACTTTGCAACCCTAAATCTAAAAACTGTTGAGTATTACTGTTCATGTTCACAAAAAGATTTCTTAGTTCAAATCACTTCAAAGTTTTTATGCATGGCTCCCTAAGTGCTTTTTTTGTTGTTTTTTTGGTTGTGTGCCGTCACATTTATTGCCCTTACTTTGAGTGCTCTTGTGTAGCTAGCTAAGACAATGGAGAAGCTCTATGACATTTTACTTGCTTGAGTGCTCCTGCCCTACAGGAACCATGCCAAAGTCGTTACCATGGTGAGCATGAGTGTCCGCCAAACAGTGAGGATGCAAAAGGGCAGACTTAGACCATTTCTGGCAAGATCAGGCTGACTTTCCTTTATTTTGTTCAAACCTGCATTTGGGAAAACTGTGTGAATTGAAAGTCTAGATTCTTGTCACTTTCCTGTATTCTACAAATTACATATTTTACTGATCGTAATTCAAGCCAGTCTCTTTGGTCGAAATCAGACTTGTTTGATGGACTTCATTAGACATTCATGACCTACTTTAATCAAAACTAAAATTATTTTACATAAGAAAGGGAAAAACTGTAAAAATTAAAATGCTTAGGGCAAAAACATTCTGCCTTTTTGTTCCAGACACATTCTGCTGTTCTGTTCCACTACGGGATTGACTGTATTCCCAAAGGATTGCAGCCCAACTACTGCCTCTCCGGGTTATAGACATGCATTAGGACGCCATGTACCATTCTGTCTTGCCACAGTAGTCAGTTTAATGCAGGACAGTGGCATTAAGCAGACATTAAACGGCTAGTCTAAAAGCTTTGCCATAATGTATAAAAAAAGGAGGCTAAAGCCCCTGTCACACATTGACGATTTAGACCAGCGTATGCCTGATGTAACAAAAATCTGCCAAAAACGCTGGCATATGTTGGATAAGTTATGGGTACAGTATGTTTCGTATAAATTATGAGCACTCTGAAGTACGCTGAAGCACGCTGGTACACGTCGACATACAGCAAGTACGTCGAGAAATTTTTAGCATGCTTAAAATTTGGCATATGCCAGTGTTTGCCATACGTAGGTCATAAGTTACAGTTAAGTTATCTGATTGTTGACATACGTTAATTAAAAAGTTACTCATTATAATTCATAATCCAAAACCTATGAGAAACTTGTGCATACGTTATGCGTAACTTACTAAGAACTTACCTCCAAAGCATATCAACGTATTTGACGTGTTCCAGACGAACACTGAACATGTTTCTGACTTACAGCTACTGTATAATGGTATATTGGCGCATAGCATTTTGGTATAAAAGGGGGTTCCCATTAGGAAACTGTCAGTTCTCCTCCAGACTTCATCCACATCATAGGGTGAGCGAGAAGGTGAGTGTGATGATCCTCCCTGCATTCACGGCCACGGCCACAACTAGCAAGCTTCTTAGCAGACATGACGCTGAATCTGCTGTGACTGCGAACCTTCTTCTTTCTTGCTTTCTTTTTCTTTTTCTTTATTCTTTTTTTGGGGGGAGAGGTTTTAACTGATGCTTCGTATTGCCCGTTAAAATTATCCTTGTGCATCATTTCTGGGCATTACGCTGCCTTGCGTTATGCATAAGTTAGGCTGTTGTTGAACATAAGTACTGGACTCGTTATGAATACTTTTTGTATAGGCCCAAATCTGCTAAGCATCATTTTGAACAATTTATGAATTGAAAATATGTAAACATTTCAATTAATAAAATAAGAATTGCATGTAGGATTCAGATACAAAAAAAGCAATCAAGAATAAACCTTACAGTAACTTTACAACTACTTAAATAAAATATTAAAAAAACTAAACCTTGGTGAGGTTTTTTTAGTGTAGCTGTATGCTTTTCAAAAGAAAATAACAAATTAGCACTCACAAGCACATTCTGTTTTGAGAGAGGAATTTTTTATTAGAGAAAATGCTGTTACTTCGTGACTAGAAGTGAATTTTATTTAAATCCTAAAATCCAGCTGGTAAAATGTAGCAGACAGGGAAGATCAGATCCTCTGGAGGACAAATATAAAATTTCAAAATGTATTCACACTGCATGGATTTTACCACATAACTATAACAACATTTTTGTTTCATCCTTCTTTGAGGTATTCGCACAAAGGACGGTACAGCAGTGAAGGACAAGGACTTCCGTGGAAAGGCTCAGAAACAGGTGCAGTTCAACCCGGGCCAAACCTCAGCCACTTGGAAAGTCAGAATCCTGTCAGACAGCGAGTATGAGGTGTCCGAGTCTTTTCAAATTGTCCTCTCTGAGCCAGTGATGGCTGCTCTCGAATTCCCAGAGGCTGCAACAGTGGAAATCCTGGACCCAGACGATGGTCAGTTACTATTTTATTTAAAAAAATCTGGTTGTAACTGTGTGGTTTAAAGAATTTTTCATTAAAAACTGGGAAAAAAAATCTTAGCTAATACTAAAAGACTATGTACATTACAGTTTTGAAGAGGTGACACAATCTTAACTTTAAACACCCATAATACTATTTGAGCTTGCATCAAACAACAGGATTACTATGCACTGCTTTCTATTAAATAGAGCACGAAAAGCTGACAAAAACAATAATTTTAGGGTACCATAAAACAATAATAAAACCAGCAATAACCAAAGTTTGTTTTTATTCTTAAGCAGCAGACAGCTCAGTAACAATCCTTTAACCCTTATCAAAGCTTTTTTCATGCTCAGATTTGATCATGGACATTTATCTTTCTTCTGGCTGAGGGTATCAGAGCTCTATAAATACAATGGAAATCCAGAAGATAAAAGAGGGCTAACAAAGTAAAAGTACTGTGAGAATCACCTTATTATGAAGTTTGTATAGGTTCTAATAAAAAAAAAAAAGCCTATGCCTTGATAGTATTGTATTACCTCAAATGTAATAGAACTATATCTGGTTGATATGGGATTAGCTCCATGTGAAATTCTCATTATGATATTATGGAAAGAGCTGCACCACAAGAGATAACAAGGTTGCTGCTAAGAAAAAAAGGTTTTTACTCCAGTAAAAATGGAATAGAGAAAAGCAATTATTGATCCCACAGGGCTTTACTGACTGGAAATAAGAATATGCTGTAAACATTGTATAGTAATAACCATGTTTAGCTAAAAGCTTGTCTTCAGGCAAAAAATAATAAATAAATAAATGTGCCTGAAGGCCAATAAAAAAAGAGAAAGTGTCATCTACCTTTCTTACACACAAAAAAAACCCAATTTGTTTATTTCTTTATGCCTCAAGCAGACTCTGTCCTCCCATAGCTAAAGCAATTATCATAGGATCCCACTGCTTATAGACTGGAAAATTTAAAAGTGTTCTGACTTCTTAAGGTCACAAACTTCAAAGGCATATAAAACATTTCTGTTTTTTTTCTTCTGAGAGAAAAGAAAAGCTGAATAGACCTTCAAGAAAAAAAAAACAGTAAATATGAATTATTTTTGACCAGGTTGATTACATTGCTCAAATTGGGAAGACCCAAGTATTGTGAAGAAAAGGTGTTAAGAAAAAAACGAAAAGCTATATTTTTTCTATATGTACCACACCTGGCTTTAGTTGAAAGGAATAAACACTGAAGCCAAAGAAAAAGTCTTATGAACTAGAATTTCACATCCCAGCATCATGATAATATATGCCAGTTATTGGTCATTAATCTGCCTCAGATAATTAGCTGATGTTGGGTTTTTATTAATTAAATAACAGTAGTATTGATGAAAGTGTTATAAGACTGTTTTTTTCTTTTCCTTTCATTTAAATTCAGTTTATTTCTGTCTATTTCTATGTTGTTCTGTTTGCATTACAGTTGGATGCGATTCAGCATTCAACTAATTAATCTTTTCCATTATACAGAATCAACAGTTTTCATACCCTCAGCTGTGTACAACATAGACGAGAACATTGGTGAGCTGCTCATACCTGTACGCAGAAGTGGGGATGTCAGTCAAGAGCTTATGGTTTTATGCTACACCCAGCAAGGTAACACCACCCCTGTGTGCATAAAAGGAAATGTACAAAATAGTTTTTGGTTGTTCTTTGTCTCAATCATTGTTGCAACTGTATGTGTTCCTAACAGAGCTTAATGATTTACTGTTGTGTAATTGGTAGAGATGTATCAATCACTTTTTATGTAAATTTCTTTTTACTGGTATTCATAAATCTTTGACCTGCCGATACAGATTGCAAACAATTCAGATATAACTTTAAGAAATACAATTTTAAATGATTTCATAACCTGATTTGCATTTTTTATAGCCTTCCTGTACCAATTACAGTGAAACATTTAATTAATAACCTATCACAGCTGTGATTCTGATCAGCAAGACTTCCCATAGTAAACCACCAATCTCTGTGTTTATGTCTTAGGTGAAACTAGCTCCCCACATTTTAACTCTCTCTTGATTCGTGCATGAATCTGCTACAGAGAGCACTTGAAATGTTGAAAATAGTTTTCTTTTAAATACTTTAAATTGTTTGTGTTTTGCGTGAGTTTAGTTGTTAACACCTAACACATACTGGAAATGGCCAACTTTACCTCTTCTTCTAGTACTGACAACTTTTTAGTGTGAAAGTAGGTTTTACATTTTTTAAAGTCACTAAAGGTTGCTTAATTATGTAATCAACTACTTTGCATATTGATGCTTTCGGGGAAGGGAATAACATTGTTGGAGAGACAAGCAGTTAGTAAATTCCTACATTCAAATAGAACTGCAACATTATTTTTAAAGTTGTACTTTTTTAGTGGAGCAACTCCTCCAGCAATCACTAAACTTTTCCAGCTTTGTAGCTTCCAAAAGTGACTCAAAATTCTTATTTTTGAGTAACTTACACATTTGTTCATTCTTTTGTTACAGTTTATGTATGCTAGTTTAGTTTCTTAAGTTTGCATTGGATTTTAAAATTATAATAAAATCATTAGGAAATTACTAGGCCCTATAACAAGACACAGTACGTATAACAGTTTTAATAACTGAGACATTTTTCATACAAACCACATTTTATAAAAATTAGAAGTCACAAGATTGTCATTAATCTCTCCAAAAAAACATTGCCAATAGTTTCTTCTCATTCTTGTTCTTCTATCATAGTGATCAGGTCACCAATTGAAAGAAAAGAGTCACAGCTTAGAGCTGAAAAATGGCCAAAACCTATCTGGCCCACAAGTGAGCAGCTCTAGTTATTTGAATTTCGATGTTGGTGTCTCTAGTATGATAATTTTGTGTGGTTTGCTTTTAATGATTAGATTCTGCAGTTTCTGATATTAAAAAATTATTAGGATTAGCTGCAAGCTTTAATAAATGCTTTTAAGAAACATGTAATTTGTCTTCTACCTCAGACTTTAATTGTCACCATTGAATAAGTTTCACAGTAGGGTAAAGCAGTAAGAGCTTAATAGATTGTTAGAAAAGATGAATCTTAATTATACAACAAATTATGCTTTGTATTGTTTCAAATTCATCTCATTAAATTTGTGCTCTGTAAATCTCTTCTCTGTCCATTCAGTTTCCGCCACAGGCACTGTCCCCACCACAGTGCTGTCCTACTCTGATTACATCTCCAGGCCTGAGGACCATCACAGCATCCTGCGCTTTGACAAGGGAGAGATGGAGAAATACTGTCGGATAGTGATAATTGATGACTCCCTGTACGAAGATGAGGAAAGCTTCAATGTCACCCTTAGCATGCCTATGGGAGGACGCCTTGGTTCTGGGTTCCCCACAGCCAGAGTCATAATCATTCCAGATATGGATGACGGTAAGAGGTGATTTCACTGATTGACTGCATATTAAAATGCAATCATAAGGTTTTGATTTTTAGTGATTTCTTGGCCTTTTTTACGTTTTCAGATATGTTTTAGAATTCAACAAGCCCCAGCTTTTTACCTCTGAATCCCATTATTTTTGTAGTAGGGTTCTTTTAACTCTACCAGATATTTTAAAAGTATCTGTCCTCGACTGAATGCTTAAAGCAGGAAAAAAATTACTTTAAAAAAAAGTTTTAAAATGTCAACTTATCAAATGGATAACTCAGTAGAAAGACTTGACCCATGTTATGAGCAGTGGTCATGTTTCAATTTATTTTTCTTACACTCGTTTATTATGTTTCTATGACTATGAGGCCTATGAGTAAAAAAAATTTGCTAGATTGTGTGGTCTTCCTCCTTTATGGTACGTAGTTTATCTTCCATCTACACTGCCCCGATTGTTGGGCTGCTGGCCCCCATATCTTCCTGATCCTCCCTTTGTTCTCTAACACCTGTCGGCCTTTCTCTCTCCCCTATCAGTCTGACAATCTCTGAAAGCATTGCTGAACATTGAGAACTCTGTGTTTGTTGAAAGGTAAAGGTGGAGCTGAAAGCCCATGAATAATACCAGAATTAGTTATTTAGATGAGTAAATATCCAACTTTAGCCCCATTATTTAAGTGGTTAAACTGCATTTGGATTTAGTTTACTTTAGAAAGCATAATAATTTTTTATCTGAGTAGAGTGGACCACATCAACAAAGCAGCTGTAGTAAATGTATGTGCAAACAACAGTAAAAGCTTCTAAAAGTGACCTTAAAAGGATCCAGGGTTTGACTGTGGAAAGAATCTGGCTTGTAATGACTTCTGGGATTAAAAATCTGTAATTTTCTTTAAGCATTTTACAGATCTATTTATATGAACAAGTTAAAACTGTTTGTGAATGTTGTATTTCAAAGGATTGTCAAGATATACATTTCTGTAATTATTTTCCAAGTAATGCTGTTGAGTTATTTGCAGCTTCGCTCACTGCTTCCTTCTGAAGTTTATGTTAAGTTGATGAATTCAGATTTATTCATCTAAACTGCTTTGAGATGGAGGATGCTACATGTTTAAAAAAGCTTCTAGCTTTTATAGCCCGGGGTGAGACTGAACGCTGTGAGTCTTTGACCCTTACTGCTCTTGAGTATTGACTACAGCTGCTTAGACTTACCATTCAGTTTTAATGGGATTCAGTTTGCTTTATGAAATTTCCTTCCCCAGTAAAACTATAAAATATCAATTTACTGCTCTTACCTGTATCAGTGTCATTAAAGCTTCACAGAGAAACTTTTGGCCACTAGGGCAGAGGTCTTCAATATGGGGTCCGCGACCCCTAGGGAGTCCACAGAGGTACAGCATGGGGGTCCTGGAAATTTTGGTTGATTAGACCTTTTTTTATATATTCCCCCCTGCAATTTTTTCCACTAATTAAATGTCTTTAAATGCACGTTAAATGCATTCAACACACTGAAGTAAACAGATAAATGGAGGCAGAAAATGTCTTTCAGTCATCAATGCACACATTCAGTGACACACAAGAGCTCTTTGCACCTGGGCACCGTTTCATTCACAACACCTGTCCCATCAACTAGGAATTAGAATTAGAAATACTTAAGTAATCCTAGGGCAAAATTACTTTAGTTAAATTGCTACATCTATAATAGAGTGACTATAGGACCAGTTTGATATAACACAATTTCATACCATATATATAAATAGGGGGTCCCCACTCCATCTCCCCATCAGTTTGGGGGTCCCTGGCCTGGAAAACGTCATCTAGCACCCCTAGTGGCCACAAGCGCCTCAGCACCAACGCAAAAGCCAACAAACAGTCAGCCGGCAAGCCTCCTGTGTCTTCATTTTCATAATTATCAGCATCTTTATTTGTAGAGCCCTTTAAAACAACTACAACTAAGAACTGAGTGCTGAAATTAGCTAAAAATAATAAAACACAATAAAAGAATAAAATACAGAATACAAATATTAAATAAGGCAATAATATGAATTTGTTTAAGCTAAATCAAAAAGGTCACAACAACTAAGTACTGCCAGTGAAGTCTTGAACCATGTTTTAAGATTCAGCAGGGAAAGAGCCTCCCTAATGTGCAGCGGGAGGTTATTCCATAAACAAGGAGCTGCGATAGAAAAGGCTATTACCCCTCTAAGCTTCATCTTAAACCTCAGTACCTGCAGGAGCTGCTGTTCTGCTGACTTGAGGGACCGTATTTTGACTGAGGACATTCTAGATGTCTTGGTTCAGCTCGGAGGGCGTGAGTAACAACGCTGCTCTCTGGAGAGCACCGCCTCGGCAGGCCGGACCGCCCAGCATGGAACAGCAGCAGGGGAGCTCTTGTAAACAGCTGCTGGGTGGACGGGGTGTGTCGGTTAGATTTCTTTTGTAGCCTGCTTGCTTTCTCTGCCTGTATTTTGCTTCTACTAAACATCAAAAATAATTAAAAAAAAAGATATATGACTATACTAGGAGCAAATGCTGCTGCTCTCTGGAGAGCACCGCCGGGAAAGGCCGGACTGAGCCTTACGGAGGACCAGCTTGCTCCGGTGAACACCCTCAGCCTCCTGGCTTTCTCTGCCTGTGCTTTGCTTCTACTAAACATCAAAAATAATAAAGATATATGACTCTATACTAGGAGCAAAGTTTTAACTGACCAGTTTAATAAATAAGTTGAGAAACTCCTTTCCAAGATCGACTCTCTTTCATGTTTTCTTTTTTTGGCTACCTCAGGTTTAAACTTTTTCCTTACCTCAGCCATGACCAGTAGTCGAGCAGACAGAAAAACTGTAAAGAAAAACCCTTAGCTCCATGACTGTCTAAGAGGCCGTGGCCGTAAAGTGTTACGTTCTTCCAGGTCACATGACCTGTCAAAAGATGGCGCATCTTATCCCAACTTACATAGTAGGTAATTCAAGAGGGGAGCCCCACTTGTAGCATTGATGGTGTCAAGCACTGTATATTGGCCTGAGGAATCATTTAAAATAACTCAGATGCATAAACTCTGTATGTGGTGACGTTTACAGCGTTGGTGGTTGCTTCAGCTAGCAGTTGGATATATTGATAAAAAGAGCTACTCCTCACAATCCTAAAACAATAAAAAAAATGTGGTATGATGGAAGTAAAAACTGAAAGGACACTAAAGAGTCTAAATCACATTGCTTATGTTTTTTGAACCCATTCCCCTTTGTCACTTGAGCCATACAAAGGAGAGAAGGGCCAGTTGTGAAGCTGGTGTTCTGACTATCCCCGCTACCCTTCAAAGCACCGAATGTATATATTATGTAAAGCAGAAGACCTTTGAGTCTAGCAGGAAAGCGGTCCATCGGACAGCCGGCTAAAGTCTTTAGCTGCTCCGACTGTTTTTAATTTCACCACCAAAAAAACTGGCCGCTAATGACCACCTAAAATACTCTGCCACATCAATATGTTGTAATGACTGTGTGAAAATGCGCTAAGCAGGCAGAGCAGCAACATACAGTAAAGTTATGTTGGCAGTTAATAATTAATCAACTATGGCATTAACTCCCAAAAAAATAAACTTCCATCAATAGATATTAGTTCTCTGGCAGTCAGGTTATCGTAAAGTCTTTGCTCTCCGTCACCATCCTGTGGAATTTATTCCTGAAAAGCATTTACCACTGGGTTCATAGACATGTGATTAATACCATTCTTGCTCTTTTATATTTATAAACTTAGAATACATTAAAGTTTGCAGTTGCAATGTGACCTACTGTGAGAAAATCCAATAGCATGAAACCAATGTTCCTTATATTTAAGGGCGCTGTGTTGCAGAGGTTTTATTGATTGCCACTTTAGCCAGATTTTTTAAGGATTCTCACCTAACAATGGGAATTATGACCTTTTAATAGAGAAGGGGAGTTAGACTGTATGTATGAAAAAAACTAGGGTTGCAAATGCAATAAGTGGGGAAGTTGCAGGTGATCCACAAACATCATATCCGCTGTATATAGAACCTGTAAAGGAACATCCGGGGCACAGAAAAGTAACTTACAAAAACATGTTAATAATTGTGCTTCCTTCTGGGTTGATTTCTGCTGCACTTTCATAACACCATCAAAATGCATTGTATAATACAGTCATAAGGTCTTGACCTTGAAGGTTGTCCAAGATGTGCTCCACTGCACACTCAGGGTCAACTAAAACAGGCTCCAGTCACCCACTGCCCTTTAGATGTGAAGCTTTATACAGGAAATGCATTAATGCTGTAAAAACATGAAGTGTGAGGAGAAATAATATGGTGTCAACTCTTCATGTCTTCCTGAAGGAGTTGATGATGAAAAAGCTAGAGCACTGAAGTTGAAGTAAACAGCTCTGAGGCAAGCAGAGCAAAATTGATCTCCTGCTTGAAAGAGTGGAGAGGCTGCAGCAGAAGTTTCATTCCCGCTGTTAGTGCAGCTGTTGTAGCCACAGTCAGGATTTTAATCCAGGCTCTAGACCCTAAGTACACATACTGTGTGAGTTTAAAGTAAATGGGGGCATCACATCCTTCTTTGTCATCTCTCTTTTAGAATAGCTTTCAAGTACAGCACTTATATGTGCAGAAAGCGTCTGTGCCCAGCCAAGCACCTGCCCGAGCCTGAGATGTCTATATGCTCAACGGCCCCAGGAGGCTTTTCAGCAGCTTTGCAAGGTTGTACTGTAGGCTCCAATATAAAAAAAAAATACAACCTACTGATTTAAGCATAATGCATTTCAGCAAGATGCCTTCGTTCCAAGCAAGCAGACTAAAGCACCTTTATGAAATTAGATGCGGGTCAATAATTTAAATTTTGCTTGCTTTATTCAGGGGGTCTTTGCCAGCCTTTAATAAAAATGCAACAAACCACCAAAGTGAAGTAAAGTTTAGATTTTGTTTAGTAGCTTTTCTTCTTATTAAATTAAAAGTAAGCCACTCCAATAACCTGTTTTGCCAGCAGGTAACAAGGAGGGAAAGATAGTTTTTACAACTTTAAAGTATTATGACATCCTCCTCAAAGAGTACCTGTATATGTAAGTGATCAGGATGGATGGTAAAAAACTGATCATGCAGGTATAGATCAGCTTTATGAATTCTTTTTCAAATTTAGATTACACTGCTTAAACCTGAAGATGTGTGATTAGAGTATTGAATTTGACTTTTTAAAGGACAATGATATTGTTATTTCACTTTTGGAAATTTTGAAACATTTTCCAAATAACTTACTCAAAGACCAAGTTTTTCACCTGGTGATCTGTAAAGATGACGGTTGAACATTTTGATCATTCAATAAAAAAAAATTGAGTATCTTAATGCTATTTTTCCTTTTTATGTTATTTTAATACATTTTTTAGTAAATTACATATTCTTTATAAATGTCTTGATATTTATATGGTATATTTATATATGTTGATTTGTTACTTACACATATAGTGACATGTATTATTACAATAACTAAAGTGATAACACAATAGGAGGTGGGAGTTAATGTGTTTTCCCTCTCCTTTCTGAACTGATTTATGTATCTTTTCTTTTGTGACCTCTTCAAAGATAGAAGCAGCCGGTCTGCTGATCTAACAGCACACAAATGTAGGGATGGAGCAGTTCTGATAAATAAGAAGAGGTCAGCTCATTTTGACTTTTAATAGCAAATAAAATCATTTTCAGAT